TATGTGCTCACTCTGCCTGAGGTGTTTGTGTATTGGGCTTTTAGGATGTTAATAAACTTCTCAGGCACACCCTTCTTCAACAGACAATCCCAGAGAACAGTTCTGTCCAACGAATCGAAGGCAGCCCTGATATCAAGAAACACTACGATTGTTGGCCTTTGATAAGTATGGCGGTGTTCTAACACTTGGCGGAGGGTGAAGATATGATCAATACATCCTCGACCAGAACGAAACCCAGCCTGCTCCTCGCGAGTCAATCTTTCTCGGGTTCTGAACAACCTACGAAGTATGACGGAAGCCAATAGCTTGGACGCAGTCGGAAGTAGACTTATCCCCCGATAGTTGTTACAGGAACAACGTGAACCCTTTTTAAAGATAGGGACAACTATCGACTCATTCCATGACGTTGGTACACTCTCTAGTTCCCAGATCTTTGTAAACAACGTCGTCAGTCCCTTAGTCAGAAAGTCACCACCATCTTTAAAAAGAGCCGGAGGTAAGTCATCTGGGCCCGGTGATTTGTAGCGTTTCAAGAGTTGGAGTTCCTTGCGGATTTCCGCCTCATTTGGTGAATCAGTCGTCACCGGCCATGGAGGGCAGGACAGTCTGACCGATGTTGCCGGAGCAGCAGGCCAGTTGAACTGCCCTTCGAAAAATTCTGCGGCAGTCTCGTACACAACCACGCCAGCGGTAGCTGATCGCGATGTGATCAATCTGAGTCCAGGCTTGAGATGCAGAAGGGGGACGCCAGGTGGCACATCGGCGATGACTGTGCCGAAAGTTAGTGCTAGCCACAAACAGGTTGTGGTCTGTGCATAGTTGCAGTAGACGTTCTCCGTTATCTGTCCTGCGACCAACGAGTCCCCATCGGCCACCTAAACGACTCTCTTCTGTGCCTAGACGCCCGACATGAGCATTCAAGTCTCCGGCTAGTACTACAATATCTGTCGAACGCACTTTCTGGAGAACAGTTAACTGGTGGTGGAACTCATCCTTGACTGCATCTGGGCTGAAATCTGTCGGGGCATAGGCGAAGATGACGAAAAGACATCGTTTCTCACGCCGATTTCTTCTCACTTTGATGGAACTTTCTAATCTAACAGCATATAACCGACTGTTAATGGGGATCCAATCGATTAGTGCTGCCTCAGCTCTAGCGCTTAGTGCGACATCAACGTCAGCAAGACCAGACGAAGATGCCACAGGATCCCCGGATAAACGCACGTAAAACGAGCTTTTTGAAGCGACAGATGGAGAGCGAACTTGTAGCACTTCACCAGAGTCTTGAATACGGGTCTCGGATAGACAACACACATCAATATTAAGACTTTCCAAAGATATAGCCAGCCCTATCTGTTGTCCAACCTGCATAAGTGCGCGAACGTTGAAGGCAGCCAGTTTGAATGGTGCACGTGGTTTCAGAAAAACTGCCTCAGTACTCTTATTCGGTGGTAACATACAATTTTCAACCAGGCAGTGACTCGAGAACGTTTAGATAGAGCCGAATGTCCACCATAGGCGGGCTGCTGTATAAGTCGAAAAATAAGCATAGATAGAGTAGGAATAAAAGGGAGTAAATAAATGACGTAGTAAATAATAGTAATAATAATTGATTGTTAATCGGGGCGAAAAGAATATTTTCCATAAGTAGACTGTTCATCATGTTTTTGTGTGTGGGCTGAGATACTTCCCGGGTGTCCAAACCGAAGCAGATAGTTTTCTTAGGGGACCACACCCGGAGCCTTTGACCTAGAGGTCTAGTCCACAAAGCAGTGGAGCATCGTGAGGAGATGCAGTCCCTTGGAAGCCGGTGACCAAGAAATTGGTTCATATGTCATTTGTTCCCGCAGGATACTAGAGCTCATGTGCACCATTGGTTTGGAATCCTGTTATAGCGCCGGACATCCGCTTTTCGTCCTCTCATTTTCGTAAAGAACACCCGTGGTGCGAGAAGGCAGTGAGTAGGACTTCCCTTGCAGAGGCTGTATTCGCGCGGCCGTGTGAGAGTATTTCGAGAGGGAGGGCGAACCCACCCCACTCTCGGCCATACCAGGGCATTTGGGGGCACTAATGCTTTAACTTGTCTCTTACTAGTAACAAATGTCTGAAATATCATGTTATTGAGATGAAAGACTTAATTATAATGTTTCTTCGTTAAGACATTCGCGCCTTGAATGTTGAATGAATTAGTGGTTATGTGAATTCAGTAGACAAAAGTTTTGAGATTAAAAGCTGAAGTTAGTGGGATCAAGTACATACGGTAACTTCAGTATGGCGAAAGAGGTACATGCAATAGATAAGTTGCCAATAGAAAGAAAATTGATCCCTGAATACTGCCTCTAGTGTGAATCTCATCTACTTTTAACTAACATTTTCGAAATTTGATATGTGTAACAAGTGGATCTAAAGTTTAGGTAAGTGATCGTGGGGGACGTTATAATAGACCATGAGATTTTTTGAATTTTGGACCAATGACCATATTGATTGTCCTAGTTGAGAATCTGGCGTTTAAAATGTAAGGAAACTGATAGATACTTTCAATATTTCCCACTCAGGAGCACATTATGTTTTCTAAGCTTGAACTATCTAAATTATAGTTTTCTGACAACAGTGTCATAAAAGTTAGTTAATGTAGAAAATATTATCCTGACGACTGTTCAGTATAACTGGCTTTATAGACCCGTACACATAGACGTTGAATTGACATTTTCTTGAGTGTATGTGTTCCTTCTCCTTAAAGAATCTATGGTTAATCTGTGAAAATATACAATATAATTCATACTTACATCCCTCTGAATAAAATGATTTAACTAGGGAACGTTAGATTCAAATGTTTGAAGTTTGTGGGTTCAACTTTCATACAGACCTGTTTTTATTCATTGTAAACAAGCTTATCATCATGAATCTTTCAATATATCTTCACACTTATGATCTTAATTTAATTATGAGGTATTAGATGACCGTTTAATCAATGTAGAACTCCTCAGCAGTACGAACTTACAATCCAGGTGGGGATCAAACCCAATAAACTATCGGAATTGGCACACAATGAGGTACAGTTCCAACTTCAGTCAACCGGAGGTATTTATCAAGTATAATTCACTAATACTGGTGTCATTTTTTAGATATCCAATATGACTGAGGTTCCCAGGTACTACTTCTCACTGAAACGCCTCAAAACTTGCCTCTGGTGAGCGAATAATAATTATCACTATGAAAAACTTGTGAAATATAACTTGCTGTGACCGTCCAGCTTAGACACACAATTCCCATACGCTTACCGATTCAGTGATGCCAATCAGATTAAGAAATGACTAGAAAGCTAAGATTGTTAAATGAACTACAGTGGTCTACAAACGATAGGTATACACATACATCTTTTATTATGATTAAGACTAAGATATTAGCTGCGACCTTGACTAGGTGCATAATCATTTTCCAGTAGGTTGTCTCGTTTATCATCCTACCATCTGTTTAACCTTGAGATATCATGTGAGCACAGTGATGTGAAATGTCCAGGCTCCTCTAGTCTATCGAAAGGATTGATTAATTTGAAGACAGTTTACATAAATTTGCAATACCAAGAAATAGCTTTCAAGTGCCCTTAACTTAACTCCACCTGCAGCTCTTCTAGAGTTACTGTCGGTCCCAAGCCCGGGTAAAGGAGGAGCGTTGGGTATGGGGTTAGCGACCCCATCTCGTATAAAACTAACTCGCTAAACTAACGCTAACCAGAAAAAATAATTCAAACCATTTAAACTCTCCCCTAAAAGTTAGAAGGTCTTCTTTTAGAAGAACTATAACGCCTCATGGTGAAAGCCGAGTTCCTTCGGAAGCTACAAGGCCGATGACCCTTCTAACAACGAGAACAACAATTTTTATAGGTACATGGAACGTCAAGACAATGTGGGAGACCGGAAAGACTGTGAGCGGCCTATGCTCCTTCACGAGGAGTAACAGGTGTAAGTAAGTAAAGTACCCTTAACTAATATTAATCCATGATCTTACTTGTCTTCAAATCAAACAATCTCTACAATTACCATATATTTATTGATCATTATACTTATAAAGTTGGATTACATCACTTTAGCGAGATGCTTGGTATTTAATAAAATCTTGTTGGTATCATTCACCAGTGACAGCTTAAAATCATACGAACCCGATCATATAATGTAAAAACAAATGATCCGTTATTTGTTCACATAGATATTCAATTTTAGTTAATCTCCAAGCTTAAAAATCGCCTACAGAATTGAAAAACCAAACAAACTTAACAGTCGTAAAAATCAAGAATTCTTTATTATACATATATATTTGATGATATGTATACATATACTACTAATAATTTATACAGAATTCATACAATTTTACAGAGATTAAAAAGAGTAATAAATAAGGTGTAGGGGAGATTTGCAAACAAACAAACACATACATACATACATACATTCATAGATATATTCAAAGATATTCTTCCAGTGGATATACTGTGGTCTATTTGACGATATCTGATCAAAACCCTCAGCCATGTTTTTTGTCAAACCATAGTCGATTACATAATAGTAGATATCTCCCCCCCCAAAAGATGCACTTTATGTAACGGATACATACAGATTACAGTTTGGCAATGGATCATTTAAATAAAGTTGGATTCTTTCCTAAAAGATCTTATATCATCATCTTGTTGTATGATATAAGAAAATAACATTTGAATAGATGATATGTGTACATGTATTGAAAAGTGAGAAACTATAAGACAAATTACAAAATAAAATGAATGTTTTCTTTAAGAGAAAACAAAAACTCCTAGAACTGACCACTTACACATTTGACTTGAAAGAAAAAGGGAGGGGGATGGGTGGGTGGGGGGAAGAAAAGAGAATAAACAATTTCTTTCTCTTCTTCTTCTTCTTCTTCTTCTTCTTTAAAACAAACATGGTTACAAACAAAACTGATTACTTTATGAAAGATAAGTAAATAATACTTTGACTATTAATCAATTTTTATTTAATATTGACTTTATTTATATGAGATCTATGATAACCATTAATTTGTTTAATAGAACCATTCTTTTCATGAAACAATTCTTCATCATTATGTTGTAATGTATCAGTGAAATGAACATTCTGTTGTTGTCGGGGATGTTGTTGTTGTTGTTGTTGGTGGTGGTGGTGGTGATGGTGGGGTTGTTGTTGTTGTTGTTGTTGTTGTTGTTGTTGACGTTTCTCTAAACTTTTAGCTAATCTTTGTTTATGCCAATAAGCATTAATATAGAAATTAGAGAATAATATTAAGAATACAGTAGCATATAATACAATAGCAGCTGGAAATATTTTAGGATAATTACATGATTGAAATGGTAGAAATATTTGACCTTGATGTAATATAAAAATAATAAATTGAATCATTTGAGCTAATGTTAAATAATTTTTCCACCATAAATAACGATTAGCACCAGCAGCTGCCAATCCATAATAAGTATACATAGCAACATGAATTAAACAATTGATTAATGGAAACATAAATGTCATACCACCTGAAATATTCAACAACAACAAAAAAAAAAACATATATGATTATGTAAAATGATTATGAAATTGATTATTAAAATAATCGATCGTTTCAATATGAACTTTGACTTATTTACTTAAACCTGTTACTCCTCGTAGAAGAGCATAGACCACCCATCAGTACTCTTCATCTAATCCTGTACTTGGTAATCCTTTCCAAACCTTTCTAGTTGTTATTCATCCTTTACATATATGATTCTATTTTCTAAACGTAATGTGTTCTTTGGCCTTCCACTTTTCCCATTCCATTCAGGATTTCAAGTAAGGGCTTGTCCCGTGATGTAGTTTGATGATTTCCTTAATGTATGGCCTATCTATTTCTATCGTCTTTTCTGATTTCCTCTTCAGCTGGAAGCATGTTTGTTCTCTTCCACAGAAGGCTGTTGCTGACAGTATCCGGTCAATGGATGTTGAGTATCTTGTGTAAACAACTATTTATAGATACTTGTACCTTCTTGATGATGGTTGTATTAGTTCTCCAAGTTTCAGCTCCGTACAGTAGAACTGCCTTGCTGTTTGTATTGAAGATTGTGACTTTGATATTGGTTGACAGTTGTTTTGAGTTCCATATGCTCTTAAATGGTAGGAATGCGACCCTTATTTTGCTAATCCTTGTGTTTACGTTTTCATGAGATCCTCCTTGTTCATCGATGATGCTTCCCAGATACATGATTTAAAAGGTTACAAAATTACAAATATGAATTCAACCACCATTCCGACTAATGTGAGTGTTGACTCACTTTATAAATGATCAATCGATGTTTGTTAATTTGACTTTGTGCGATTAATCGGGGATGTTATCTGTAATGTTACAAATGTTAAATGAGTGTGTTGTAAGTTTTCGGGGAAATTTCCCGTATATTTAAAGGGTATGTGTTGAATATGATAGTCATCTGGAATATTGGACTATATTAAACTAATATGGACAAAGAGGATAGTTGTGTACATTCACAGACACTTAAAATGAAATTATTTTATTAAAATCACACTCTTATATACAACACACACCCATTAAATAAATGGGAAATTGTCTGCAGGTATCGCATACAACACGTTTATTGAACAATCGAAAACGTTGTGAATAGTCTTTTGTTAATTGATTTCAAAGTCAGACAAAATTGAGACTGACTTACTTGACATTAATAATAAAACCACAGTTTACATTGTTATATGCCCTAGTACGATCGAGGGTGAGGAGAGTCCGTTCTACCTCTCGAAATACTCTCACATGATCACGCGTATACTGTCAAGCCCAGGGAAGTCCTACTCACTACCTTCTCGCACCCGGGGTGTTTTTTACCAAATTGAGAGGACGAAAAGCGAAAATCCGGCCTTTTAACCGAGCTGATGGACACCGAGGGTTCACCTACGGAAGTAGACAAAAACCTGATTCCAACTGAAACTAACAAATAGCGTATGAACCAATTATTGTTCATCAACTACAATGGGACTGCATCACCTTAAGTTGCGCCAATATCTTTTGGATTACACCTTTAGGTGGAAGGCTCCAGGTGTGGTCCCCTAAGAAAACCACCTGCCTAGGTTTTGGTACCCGGGCAATATCCTATTCCTCACATAAATCGGATAATTTATGTAGCCCATATCTATTTTGTGCCTCCTTGTACCAATGTTTATGTTTTCAAATCAATAAATAATACTTTCAAATAATGCTTAAAATGATTAAAATGAAAACGACGAATCGGTTCGGGGCAACATAGAGTAAAACTAGTAATGTTTGACTTTTTCTTATGTAAACTATATGTAACAGATAAATCGACTTTGGTCCTAAATCCCTAATCATTAGCATAAATAACTAACCCTAACCAAGAACAATATGTGAACTCTTAAAAATCTATACGGGTCGTTATTAGGATTGGAAAGGATCAATAATCCATATCCATAAGGACGAATTCATATGATTTCATAGGTAAAAAAAAATCTATTGAACATTCTTTGTAATATTATTGTCTTTTTCACATAAATAAGTCACTTAAAAAGACTTTTCTGATTTGCCATAAAACTGACTGAAAATTTTTCGATTGAGATCATGAACCGATTGATGTTAGACCACCATTGAAAACCTGAAAGCACTGGACGGCCAACTCGTCCCATTTTGGGATTCCTCAGTAGTGCACATCCACGATACCGCTCGCGGGATTCAAACCCAGGGCTTTCGATCTCGCGTGCAAACGCTTAATCTCTAGACTAATGAGCCGTCATCCAATGGTGTTAATGTCTAACCTCAACCAACCCACGGAATTGCGCGACCATCTTCCATTGTACTGAGGTAAGTACCTGTCTCTAACCGAAATGAATCGGCTCCACTAGTCAAAGTTTCTTACTAGAACTCCGAGAATTCCTTCACGAAGCTAGTCACTAGTGAGCACATGGTAATTATTAGCATAAGGTTATGGAGATTATTAGGTTATTGATTAAGATCATAAATCGCTCAATACGCATTTCTGAGGAGTCCCATACTAAGACGAAACGACCGTCCAGTGATTCCACGTTTTCAAGGTAGTCTAACATCAATTGATTCATGATCTCAATTAAAAACTTAATAATCGCCACAACCCCTATCCTGAAACTTTTTCGTAGTTACATAAGTTATTCAACAGGAATACCGTTAAATAGTTCTCAAAAATTACAGTGTCAAACATATCAGGTTATCATTTCTAAGCATAGATATTACACAAGACATGAATCAAATAGTTTTCATATTAATTTCCTTAATAAACGCATAAAAAGATACTTTATTCATGGTATAATGAATAAATAGTAGGTTGGTAAATTAGAACTGATAACAATGATGATAACGGAAAACCTAAACAATAAACACACAATTCAATAATACTAACCAATAACTATCACATATGAACTGAAAGTTACTATTTCAAATAGATATCTAAACATTTATTAGGAAAGGCATTTCACATAAGAAACGTGAATCACTTTATCAAGTGATGAGTATACACGACTTCAACTAGTTAAGATGATCAATACTCGTACACATGACAATTCATCACCTTTCTACAATCATGAATTTTGTGAAATAAGGTTTTAAATGATGTTTACAATAGTTCAATTAATCAAATGATATCAGATCATGGATTCCTTAGTATTCACAATAGTAAAATGATACAACTCATTGTTTATCGCAATGATACATTAACTGATGAGATCTTAGAGCATGCAAATTTTGTAGTTCTTAATGGTCTTGATCTTTTCTTCTCTGGTATAGGGGTTATGGAGATTATTAAGTTTTTGACTGAGATCATGTTAGGCCACCGTTAGAAACCTGGAAGCACTGGACGGTCCTGTTGTGGGACTCCTCAGTGGCAGTGCATATCCACGATCCCACTCGCGGGACTCGAACCCAGAGCCTTTATTCTCGCCCTCTTTGATAATTTAATACATTTTCAATTATGCTTTTACAAATGATGGTCATTTCAATCAGTGCATTTTTTGTTCTGCAGCATGTATTCCATATCATGAATAGAAAAACGATATACATATTAGGTCACATTAGATAGAAAAGTCAATCGAAGAACATGTGATAACTCGAAAGTTGATTACAATTTAAGTGCAACTTAATCAATCAATCTATATGCTACAGATTTTTTTAAGGGAACAATGAAATACTATAAGCAGTCATTGAACCGTTTCACAATATCTTTCTCAAAATCTATATAGCTAATAGTAATAATTGATTGAAATCAGATATGCACAATGACTGTTCCACAGATCATAACTCTTCTCATTATTATGTAACAATGATTATTTCTTTTCTAAATTCCCACGAATAAATGATATTAATGGAGTTTTGTTCTCTAAGATAAATGGTTTAGTGGTGGAGATTTCATCCTTCCTCCGAACGATATTATCTTCACTATCTCAACAAGTGATGTACAGTCACGTTTCAATAATAGAAAGACAACTTTGATGTCAAGTGATTGTAGTTAAACAATCAAATGTATTTGCTTTAATTATCATTCGTTATCCTCGAATTGTGCAATGGTCATGAAAGTCATCTGTAATGTAACTCCATACATCAAGAACATTCCTGTGTTCACCTTTCATCAAATGGATTACATAGAAAAAGAAATTTTTCTATACACATTTCACCTTTAAGAATGAAGACATAAACCCAATACTTAATAATAATGGGTCAGTTGAAGATTCTCGTCATTTAACAATATCCAAAAGAAACCAGCTCTTATATTAATAGTTTGTTTGATCAAAATCGAAGTATTTATAAATTGACTGAATAGAGGGAAGCCTCCCTCTCGAAATGCACTCACATGGCCACGCGTATACAGCCACTCACAGCGAAGTCATACTTACTGCTTTCTCGTGAAGAGGGTGTTGATTACAAAACTTGGAGGATGAAAAGAGTATGTCCGACGCTCTAATCAGGTTGGTAGACACTGAGGATCCACCTAGGGCAGTTGGAAAACACTGATTCCAAACCAATGATGGACATGGACTACCAGGATCCTGAGGGAACAAATGGCATATCAACCTATTGTTAGTCACCAGATAACATGGGACGTCATCTCCTTACATTGCTCTACTACCTTGTGGATCAGACCTTTAGGTCAAAGAATCCGGGTGTGGTCCCCTAAGAAACCACCTGTTTCGGTCTGGTTAGCCGGTCAGTTTCCCAGTCCGCAAACATACCAAGTGACTTGTGTGACACATATGTATTCGGTGCCCGTTTGTACTAATATTGATGTGTTCAAACAAATAAATAAATAAGTCACTAGCTCTAATGATCTATACTCACTTAGGTCTAGTCCATATGAACTATCTAACAGAGAAACATTAAATTTAAGGAAAAAAATGTACTGCGTATATAGACAAGTAAAAACTTTCCAAGGTTAATGATCAATGTAAATTAATTTGAAAATGAAAAAAAAAAAACAACGATGATTATTGAACTTACCCGGTGCATATTTTACTCCCCACCAAATTGATGGTGGCATAGATGCATGATGAAATACATGTAGAAATGTGACTTGATCAACTTTACCACGCCATAAGAAAAATACAGTATCTAACAATTCAACAAGTTTAGAAAAATAGAAAAAATATCCAAGCCATACAAGTATATCAGTTTTTCTATCATTAGGATCTGGTAATTCTTCACAACCTAATCCATAACCCAAATTATATACAGCCCATATAGTACCGAATGAGATAATAGCAGAGTAAATAACCATTATTGTATTATATAAAATCATAAGTTGCTTAATAATGTCATTTGATGATGATGATGATGATGATGTTTTAGCATTTTTCATGATAGAATTCAATTCCTCTTTGTTTTTAAGTTGTTTTCTATGTCTTTTCAAACATTCAGCTTTCCATGCATATACTCCAATAACATAAGTTAATGTAATTAAACCTGTAGGAGTCCAAGAAGACATTAAAGGAAATGCATCTAATCTAGGATCTGGTTTTGGTGGTAACAATTCTTTTAATAACCAATCGAAAATGTTCATTTTGAGGCAAATATTAACTAACTAAACCAAAACTTCAAAAAATTCATTATGATCAAGTGTTAAATATTCTTTCTTTTTTTTTTTGTTTAAATCTAATTGGATAATTAATTCTTAAAATAAATTAATATTTGATTGGTCAATTTTGAATGACTCATACCTTAATAACCAATCACATTGAAGTGTATGATATCTGTGCAAAATTGGTTTAAAAAAAAAATCAATAAAGGACAGTAAATTAGTGTAAGCGTGGTATATTTTGCTGGTTAGTAGTGCTGGTGGGCAGCCTATGCTTCTTCATGAAGGGTAAGTAAGTAATGCTATATCTTCTAAATTTTACTCAATGTTATCCTTCATACGAACAATACTCTCAGTCGACTCCTAATCATATAAACAAACGCAGCATAATTATCATGGGTGACTATGGTTTCTATGCAAAGACAGGGAAAGACAGCCATACCAATAATCTATTTTACACCTCTTACTCTAAAAGAAGATAAAAATATGATCAAGAACTAAAAAATTAGACCTGTTCACTGGAATGTCCGATGATGAACACAAAGAAGAAAACCCCACCAGATAGCTAACCAGTTGACTGAACACTGTTACCACATAACAGCACTAACTGAAACTAGATTGCTATCTAAAATAATAAACCCAGACAATCATACCATCTTCCATAATAGCAATCCATACATTAGTGATTATCGAAATAAAGGTGTAGGTTTTTAGATTAACGACTAAAAAACTAACGGTAATCAATTTTACAGAAATAGGTGGACGAATAGCAAACATCCAAAACCACAGCAAGACCATTAGGCAAAATTTTATCCGGTTTTTCTATCTACATAGCCCTGCCTGTTGAGTCCAGAACACCAACCTCAGCCTCTGCAATGTGAATCATGTGTTTGAAACATACTAGGTTTATATACAAATCAAACAGACCACATCATACTATAAAATAGAAAAAAACATTTGTACGAGATCTAGCCCAAAGTGGCTGTGAATGGGGGAGATAGTACTCTCCTACCGAAACATTCACAGATATCCCCACAAAACGACTCTTCTACTTCAAGCTACAACAAACAGTGCAACACCTCCAAAAGTTAATATATTCATTAATCATCTTAGGAGACTAGCTGTCGCCTGGTACCGGAACATAACAATGACCGTCCATATAATATGGGAAAATACATTGAAACTGAAACTGAATCCTCTTTAAATGACCCAAGGATGATAAACTTCTGTGATAAAACGAGCTTAAAAATAATGAACACCTCTATGAACAAACGCAAGACAAAAGTTCACCCGTGCGCAAATACATGTCAAACGATAGACCTTACATTAACAGTACTGAAGTCAAACCTTCTCGTATTTGACATACATGCTTGTCAATTTACTGAAGCTAATTCACACCATCACATGGCGACAACAATAATTAGGTTGGGTAAAACCCCAAACAACATGTATCTTAAACTTAGGACTAGTCGTAAAACAACGAAAACACCGCTTTATCCATCAATTAAATCACACACAGTCAAGCTAGAACAACTCCTAGATATAACTAAGAATCTACACCATATAGAGAATGTTCTCATCCAAGCTGCAAATAAAACTAATTCTTCAATTAAGCCAATCTCTGAACTTTGACAAGAGGTAGTGGATAACCGGTTGAAAACTGGAATATAACAAAAAAAGGAATAGCTAAACAACCCAGCAGAAGAGACTAAAGTAATTTAGAAATAAGCTAATAAGAATGCATAGCAACTCACGTTCAGTTGAGTTTGCCCTCATCTAATTCGTTTAAGCCCTTTTGTTAACCTATTAAACGGACAAGGTTATCTGTACTTTAACAACTTATTCTATTTTTATTATTGTTATGCTTGTATGAATAAGCATGCTTGAACACTGTTGACTGCCCACGCATATATTCATCCCACTAACCTTATTATTATTCGTTTAATCCATTCGATAGTCCATTCACTTTTCTATATATATACGTGTATATTTAACACTCTACACATTTTCCACACATTCCCACACATTCTCACACAATCACGGTTTGCTGACTCATTCGCCTCTCTGCTCTGTGGTTTGAGTAGCCTGCTAATAAAACTGTAGTAGCTGCTTCTCTTTGCCTTCTGATTTCAACTACCGTTGGGGTTTATACGATAACGGTTACGAGGGTGATTGGTCAACGAAGCACAGCCACTACAAATGTTAACAAAAAGACAAGATAGGCGAAAATAAACCTATATGCTGGACAAAATGGATGAATTAAACACTCTCTTTCGAGAGATGAACAACATCAAGCATATAAGCTATTCATAGAAATACTGACCACCATACGGAACCGGTCATGTAACAGTTGCAAAACAACCAGAGTAAACGACGTAATACTATCAAATACTGTAAATATCATTACTAAGGTTCGACTTGATCATTTCAAATAAATTGAACATTGGGTAGATTGTTATAAATAAATAATAATATATTTGTAATAACCTGAGGCGTAAAAAAATTAGATTTTCTCATGTTTCGTGACTTAATATAAGCCACTTCTTTAAAGAATAAATAACCAAATCAAAATTAATTTTGATTAACGTTCATCGATCTTACTAAAACTTTTAACTCTTTACCAAAGAAATGGATCTTAGACATATTGCCACTCTTCAGTCTTGCCTTTCAACAAATTCTCAGCTAGACTGATAACAATAACACAACTTCTACACTGCAGCATACTGATTATGCTGATGACCTATGTCTCATTACAACAACGGCTGATGAAATCACCAAAACTTTCACCTCTTTTTAAATCACCTAACTAAACTTGGGATGTAAATTTCCTACAACAAAATCAAAGTCAATGGTGATCAATAAACAAAGTAACGATATCGAAATAACCAATGACAACGACAAACTTTAGGAAGTAACGACATTCAACTACTTTGGATCAATCATAAGAATTGATGGAACATCTGATGACGCAAGCAAAACAAACATTGGCAAAGCAAAGACAACGTTATCAGCATACTGTCGTGGAGATTGGTGAGTTTGAATTAAGATCATGAACTGATCAATACACACTTTTGAGGAGTCCCATTCTGGAATGAAACGGCCATTCAGTGATTCCAGGTTTTGAATGCTGGTCTAACATTGATCAGTTCATGATCTCAATTAAAAAACAACACTAACTAAAATCAGACCGATACTGCACTCGGCAATCATCAACCTTCGAATTCTTCAATAACTCCCAACTTATGGGCTTCAGTCCATAATCCTGGACTAGATTAAAAGCAGTCCTCAATACTGCTCGATTCATGATTCTGGGCATCAATGACAATAAGCAACTTACAGCTAACCTACTGCAGAATAACATATCTCTACCTAACCATGTACTGAAAATACTACAAAACAGTCTAAACTTGTAGAATGCAGCACATAAAAAGCCAAATGACCTAATAGTGAGTTTTTTAAACAGCGTTATAGAAAATAATAGCCATATCAGAAGACTAGCTCACACAAACAACTGGCTACGATTACTAACACACAATCTAGATCAATTTGATGAAAAACTTCCCCAAGAATGGATAATACATCTGATGAAGATAACAACCAGAAATCTAGATGATGATAATCCTAAAATAATGTGTAAACATGACCTAATACACAAATACAGCAACAAACGCTGTCAGTGGCTATTTGTCACAATAATGGAAATGAATGAACATTATAGAAACGATCATCAATTGCAACAAACAGACCTGATACCTCAAGAGCAATTTAAATTTCCTCTAGAAGATTGAAAAATGGCCTATTAAAAACTGAACGATAACTCAAAAAGTATATCAATACATACCATCCCCAATTAACTCTAATAACACCAGAAATACAGCTACGAAACCAAGAAATACATACTTAGGGAGCTCGAACACCAAGAAGAACTGAAAACACAACAAGGCAAACAAACAGAGACTTAAAAGAATCTCCATACCCTAAGTGCCAAACACTAAATGAAAAATCAGCTAGTACCATGTTGTATACAAATGGTTTGCCATCACAAGATAAGAAGCAAGAGCACAAAAATCTACAAGATCTTCAAAAACAACTATTGCGCTACGGTAGTGGTGTCATGCTTTTATGTATGCCTCTTCTTCAGGAGGGTTTACCGGCTTCACTAACTAGATTTGGCTTGAAAGGGTACCTAAATGGTTACCAAAACAAATTAAATCAAATGAAACAATTAGAGTAAATGATAAACATACATTATCCTCTGTTGCCAAATATATAGTTGAAGTAGGTCATTAGATTGATGCTAACACGGATTTGTTTAATATCTTTGTTTCCTTTTACGCTCCATTTGTCTAGTTGACCTTTTATTTAAACATATAAATGATCATAACAGGTTGTTAACAGATTGTTCGACATAAAAGTTTTCAGTTGTATGAATTGGTTGTTCGGATTTTGTGCGATTGAGTAATTTATGTCAAACTGTTCAGTCGTGAATTTCATTAAATCTTCATGAAGTGGAAGTGTAGTTCGACCTGATCACTCTGTCAAATAGAATTGAAGATATCGAGTCAGAATGAATAGATGTGGGTCAGTGTGAACGGACTTCGGACCATGTGATTTACCTCAGTCAACCTAGTTTTAATCAACAGTTGATATGAATTAGCAAATCAGCGCGCAGCAACACAATCGTGCACGGAACATGCTTTAATCCAATCTATATCCCGCTAACATTCATCATAAACGAACATTGATTATAGTACCATTGGAAACCAAAGGAGACGATTTTTGATTCATTCTAGTACGATAATTAGTAATGACACACACCAACAATTTTGTCGAAAATTGAACTTAACATCAGATTATGATGATGTGAATTCACATAAGATGGAGCCCAATCATCTGGACAGTCAAACGGTTGTAGTGACCTACTTTTGTCAACAGAACACGATTGGTTCGATGAAAACAATTATTATTATAACCAATTGTACCAG